AGAAGAAGAAGAAGAAGAAGAAGAAGAAGAAGAAGGAATTCAACTGTGTGCCAAATTTGGCATCAGAAGGAAACGAGGGGAATGCCAGGTGAAAAAGTGGTCACGCAGAGCTATGAATCCAAAATAGCGCCTTTCGTGCCCACTCTTTCTTCCAGGCAAAGTGTACACAAACACACACACACACAACTAATGGTTTTCTTGGTTTGAGTACCGTAGAGTCCTTATTTGCCTCGGACCTCATTCCTTTACAACACAACCCTCCCTCCTCCTTTACCTTTTACAAATGAGGTGAATAAACGAAATTTTGGTTGGCCAGTGCTGGTAGAAAGTAGGGGTTGTAATTATATCGTTCTGGGTCGAGATGTGAAAGGTTTAGAAACAGTACTTTCATTCACTAGGCCGACAAGTTTGAAATGTCCAATCGACTCTACCACACAGTTTTGGAGTCAAGACCTTCGACACCGCAATTTAAATACCACCGTTATTTTGTACCATGAAAATGCATCCTCACTAGTCAGAAATCGAGCATCAGACCGTGTTTACCTTTCAAGTTGTCATTCATAATTATCTAGTAGAACCACAGACAATTTGTAGGATTTGGCTTGTTTCCGCCACGGGAAAACCGGTGCGGATAACGAGAGATTTCCGATTTGTAACGGAATATTTCGTTGAAGTAATTGATACTGTAGCGCCTCGATACTTCCCTGAAGATGTAAAAAGGCATAAAACGCGGAGATAATATTTTGCTGACGTATGGGAGAGCTTGCGGATACTGGGGTGGATCGGAGGCCAAGTCGCCCAGCGAAGGCACAAAGGCGAAGCCCTAAGTGGCCACAAAACCAAAAACGTAGAGTTAATTTTCCATCCAAAGTATTGCATATGCCCTCTCCTTATTTGAGCTTCATCCCCAGCGCTCCCATTGGTCAATCCTTCCTATCAGCCATCACAACGTAGTCGATGCTGTTAAAAAAGGCCCCATCAGCCAGCCGTGCCAATCATCGAATTTCCACACACATGAGAGGATACTCGACCGCAACGCCACTGACCCCTCTTGGCAATTTCCATTAGGTCTGCAGTTGCGTTCTGTTGGGGACTCGAATTCGGGGACGCGGGAATGTGCTGGCCGTGACGGGTGTGCGTAGTTAGTCGTAGGAACACTGGCCTAATAGCGGAGTTAAGTAACAAGGGACAGGATCCAGCATAGTCCCGTAGGCGGAGGGTTCCACGTCTATTCCTCCATACCACTTTCTCACTTCAGAGCTGCTCAGCCATAGCTATCTGGGTTTTATCCAGCCAGTAGAGAAGTGGAGGCCACCCAAACATTTCGATAACGATCTTTTCCAGATGGTTCAAGGCTAATATCGCCTCACATGTTATTAGATTTCCTGCAGACCACGGATCTGGCGTAGTTGGCAAGGGTAGACGTCATTTCTAGACTTCCTACTATAGATATTTACAGATTTCTACAAGGGCAGCTTATGCACTTCTTCCGTTACGCCAAGGTTTAGCATCCAGTAGTAGAATTCAAAAATGTTTGCCATTTAAGATGGGCTTTGCCTTCCGATGCCAATAATTCAGCGCCTCGAGGCTTCACTGAAGACGAAGGCATAATACTTGGGGAGGACATGCAATGTTGATATACAAAAAAGATGGTGTGGGGGCTACTGGTATAGCCGAAGACCAGGCCGCCTACAGGGCTCCAGAGTGGTCCGTCACCAAAACCGAGAGTTACCCGAACAGCTAAAGTATTGCAGATCCTTACTTGAAAATGGTTGAGAAGCTCCATTCCGACGTACTGATCTAAAGGATCGGTTATGTTGGAGACCTGCACCCGCACAAATGCAGATAGTGACGAAGTGGAGACGGACGGCAAGGAAGCAGATGCATTTCATGTTGCGCGGGCTTTAAGAACCCTGCTTGTCATTATGGTCATCAGAAGGTTATTTGGCTATTTGAAGCAAATTAACCAAATAAATGCTTTGTAGAGTTTACGATTAAGAGCTAGACGCGAAATCATCCTAGTGTGTCTATACATTTATCCTCACAGTTACAAATTAACCGTAATAATACACCATGTTGTGATCTGTAAAATGAATTCTCGTTCAATGAAGCAAGTGGCTGGAACGGGTTTTGGTGTTTCATCTTCAAGCTGGAATTGTTCACCGAAATCTTCTTTGACCAAATGAAGCGTTTCGGGCGGACAGATAGATGTAATGATGAGAAAGCTCTCGATGAAGCTATCAAGCACAAGGGGTTAAATCCCAAACAGTCTGCACAGTTAGCAATGCCCAAACGACAGTGGAGAGGTGGATTAGGAAATCACCTCCCATATAGCCTGTTAACTAGACCTTTCTCCACCTGAATTGCAGCTCATCTTCCAAGCCTGGCGCTGCTTAGTGAGAGCCGCGACGGACGGATGGATTTCAGGATTTTGTCGGCTCTCACATTTCCTTACCGCTGACAGCATAAACAAAATATGGGTGAGACGGTAAAACTGCCATCAGTGGAATTTAAAATAGATGATTTGGTATCTCTCATGGTCTAAGATAACTTCAGTTTAAGGCGCAAATGCGACGCCGATTTTGCGACGAATTGGAGTTTTATGATCGCAAGTGATAAAAGCGCAGTCTCACCATTAAAGACAATCCTACACCGATTTCGATGCAGATTTGGTGATTGCAAATGCCAAGATGTGGGCGATAAACCTAAATTTTGTGAATTTACGAACCCTTTCTGCCTTCTTTTCTCCCAAACTTGCTGGCGCTGTTCATCATATCATCTCACATCAGGAGCACAGGGTCGCGCGCTTTCTGCTTTAAAAGTCCAGCAATTAGCCCAACAATCCGTCTAAGCACACGTAATTTTTTTAACCAAATCGGTAATAACAGCATTTGCATGACGTTAAATTCTGTTTTGAGAATGCGTACCCGCAAATCAACCTTTCACCTCTTGGATTTCGCGAATCAGGACGTGAACTGGCAAATGAAATCGGTAGATCAAAGGGGTCTCAAAGCTGTTCACACATTTCATCGGAGAATGTCACTTGGAATCCTACCTCTGGATTAGTGAATGCATTTCTTGAAGAGGTAAATTAGCGAAAACAGCGGCCAAGTTTCGTGACATTTCAAATGAGATATTTAAGGCACCACTTTTTGGAAGGCAAGTTTCAATACCCCACCTCACAAAAATTTCCCGTTTGACATCATAAATGCGCCTGGTAACAAGCTTGAAGCGGACACTAGTGGGAGTGGATACCCTGTAGACATGGAGATTGCAGAACACCAAGATTCCATGCGTTTCCCCCATAACGGTTGCCCAGGCGCAAGATTCCATCTCAGTATTAGTTGCTAATGCTGAGATGGCTTTACTCGCATTAGCAAAGCAGGAAAAAAGGAGTGAAGGGAAATCCCCTACATCTCTAAGGCATTTATTGTGGTCATTGAATTATTTGGTAAAACATCTTGGTCGCCTAGCATTAGCAACTGATTTCCTCCACATTCTGGTTCAGAGACTTCCTAGCTTAGATCACTTCGATAAGCCCGGAGCCAAGTGTTCAGTTACATCAGGTTCCGGAGGGAAAATAGCACCACTGTTTTTCAAAGGTTAAGATCGTCTCAGAAATTCATTGATGCACGAGTATAAGTAAAACTTGAGTGACTCTTCGCGGTCTAGGTCAGTCCACGC